GAGGACCATGAGTCCGGAAGTAAGGCCAGCAGCTTGGTCTTCTTTTGAAGGTCACTGTAGTTCAGGTCAGCTCCTTCGAGCCGTGTCAACAAGTCGAAGAATTTCTGCACTCCTTCCTCCACCGGTTCGCCTTCGTCAATTCGAAGTGCCGCCATTTGCCGCTCCAAAACCACAGCCACCGCCGCTGTTGCAGGAGCGTGTACACCCTTGAGAGCAGCCCATGCCTTTGGTCCCTTTGCTGGTTCACGCTGAAAAGGCTTGATGTGACGGATTTGGCTGCTCCCCAACGCTTGCCCAAGTAGAAGGTAGCCTTGTGCGCTCTTCCGCACCCACGGGCTCTTCTCCGGGTCGTTCTCGGGGCGCTTCTCCGTTCCTTCCATCACCTCCAGCAGATCATAGTGGTCAAAGATGTTCTCCATCTTGAAGGACCACTCAGCAAAGTTGTCACCGTTGAACTTGTCAAGGCCAAACACTCTAGGCTCATCCCTAGAGGGTCCAAGGCTAGGTTGCACCGGAGCAATGGGTGGATCTTGGTGTTGACCTTGTGCTTGGGCGTCTTCTCTGCCTCCAGCACCTCTGCCACCCCCTTCCTCAGGTCTAGGCATGGTCGAGACGGCTCCAAGGGGCTCTGATACCACTTGTTATAGTCACAATAGGCTCAGATGTGCCTATAATGAGGTAGAGAGCATATCGGATTTCCGTCAGACGGCTTCAAATATTGATAACGATCTGGTGGCTGAGTCAAACTGTGATCTGTAAGTTGGATCTGGAGCGCGTTACTGTCGTCTATCAGCAGCAAGTTGAATCATGAAATTCCATGAAGATTTGACGACGCTATGGCGGTTTGACTGGCAGGAGGTATAGCAGCCACTATAGTCTTGGAAGTACAAACTTAGCAAGAAGAGTTCGAGAGGGAGATGGTTCCCAGCCTCTACATACCCCAAGAGCCGAGGTCCAGGTTGGTGGTACACCACCACAGAGTCCCCAACCATGAAGAGTCTCGAAACCAACCCTCCAAGGGGCTACACCAAGTGAAATGTAACACTACACGAAGTAACGTTACTATTTTCACTATTTAATATTTATCCGCGTCCCTTGGGCTTGAAATCTTGAGCTCTTGTTCTTGGATCTGCAAGATAAATTCTTCTTGAGTTGATGGGGGCTTGCTGCACACACCTGCGACACGATGGACACTTCACACTCGACAAAATAGAAAAAAACACATGCGACACGCAAACGACGACTTGACATTGGAGTTGTAAAAACTCGCTAATGTCTTGACCGACACAAACCACATTGTGATACACCATTCAAACACACACACAAGCACTGGATAGCAATGACATAGACTCCCAATTCATTCCATGCCATGCATGCACACACACAAACAAGGACGACAAGCCGAGTGCAAGCCATAGGGTTGCACCAACAGGCGCTTCTATAGCCTTCGCCAATCGGACCGCCCCAATTTGTTCGCATGGTTCTCAACTAGCTCTGTTCATGCCTATAAATGCCTAGGCCCTCATTTGTATCGACACTCTTGAATCACGAATCCTTTATTACAGTACCTATTTTTACTCTTATTTATTCATAACAGCTGGTATTTGAGCCCCATTCCTGCCCACTGAGGCAGAACCGATCTTTGGGTCGGCCACGATCTGCACGTGGAAAGCATGGGGCGAAGCATTGAAGAGCCACTTCGAGCACATATCCATGCGCAAGAACGCTCGCACAAGGCTTCGGATGTGGAGACAGCTGGGCTCTGTTCAAGAATACACGGCTTCGTTCCTGGCGTTATGCGATCTAATCAGAGGGCTTGGCGAAGACGAGAAGATCGATCGCTACGTGGGTGGTCTCAAGCGAGAGATTCAGCAAGAGATCGTCCTGCGAGCCCCGGCAACATTCATTTGACTACAGCGCCTTGAATCGGGTTACCATCAAGTATCGCTACCCCTTCCACGTGCAGACGACCTCATCGACCAACTTCGCGGGGCCAGATTTTTTTCGAAGATTGACTTGCGAGGCGGTTACCACCAAATTTGCGTGCATGAAGCTGACTGCTCCAAGACGGCTTTTCGGATCCGGTACGGGAGTTACGAATACACGGTCATGCCCTTCGGCTTAACAAACGCGCCTTCGACATTCCAGTTGACCATGAACGAATTTTTTCGGCCATTGCTGGATCAGTGCGTCATCGTGTACCTCGACGACATTTTCATCTACAGCACAACCTGAGATCAGCATTTGAAGGATTTGGAAGCGGTTTTCTCTCTCCTGCAGCAGAAGCGACTAATCACCAAAGGCTCCAAGTGCGAGTTTCTCAAATACGAACTGGAGTATTTGGGTCACGTGATTTCCATCGATGATGTTAAAATAGACTCCAAGAAGATCGCGACAATCCAAGAATGGAAGCCGCCGGCTGATCTACGCGAACTTCAGAGTTTTCTGGGGTTTGTTAATTACGTCGTTTCATTCCGAACATGGCGGAGGTAAATTCCCCTCTCACGGATCTCCTGAAAAAAGGGCACGTTTTTTGAGTGGGGGGAAGAGCAGCAGGCTGCGTTAAAAAGCTCAACTTTTCCTGACGACCCCTCCAGTTCTTCGAATTGCAGATCCTCACCGTCCATTCGAGCTCATAACCGACGCTAACGATCTGGCCGTCGGCACAGTCCTGTTACAAGACTTCGGCGAAGGCCTACAACTGATCGCCTACAAGTCACGAAAGCTGAACCCGGCCGAGCGAAATTATCCTGTCCACGACAAGGAGTTACTCGCAATCGTTCACGCTTTCAAAGTCTGACGCTGCTATATGACGGGCGCTGACATAACAGTCCGAACAGACCACAAGTCACTACAGTTCATCCGTGCCCAACCGACACTCCAATCCCCAACAGATTCGCTGGCTCGACTACCTCGAGTCTAATTTCCACTACAGGGTCATCTACAAAGGAGGAGTCAGCAACATCGCCGACGCACTGACCCACCCCTCGGTCCACACCGACGCCGTTCTAATTACCCAAGCTAATCCGCTGCTAACCGGCCTATTCACCCACGGATATAGTACTGACCCATTCTTCAACACTAATAGCCATCCCCAACTGACGGTCAAGCAAGGGGCCTATTACCTAAAATCCGGTACCAATCGGATTTGGGTTCCCGCCTACCGTACCCTATGGGAATTACTGATCTAGGAGGCACATGACTGGAATTTCTCGGGTCACTACGGCATCGACAAAACCGCGAAATTACTGAGCCATAATTATTACTGGCCCGACCTACTGACAGACATGCAGCAGTACGTCACCTCCTGCGCCACGTGTCAACGCATGAAGTCTTCCCGACTTCGACCTGCTGGATTGCTGCAGCCGCTCGAGCCACCCAGCCGACCCTGGCAACAAGTGACGATGGACTTCATCACTGGCCCTGCCAGCTGGTTCAAGCGGTAACGACGCGATCCTCGTCGTCGTTGACCGGTTGACCAAAATGGCCCGTTTCGCCGCCTGCAAGACGACAAGTACTGCCGAGTAGACAGCGAAACTGTTCCTCACGAACATCGTGCTGCTACATGGCATCCCATCGGCAATCATCAGCGATCGTGACCCACGGGTCACGTCCAACTTCTGGACAAAAACCTGGCAGCAGTACGGCACACGTCTGCATCTGTCCACGGCATACCACCCGCAGTCGGACGATCATACTGAGCGCACCAATCAAACGATGGAGCAGCTGATTCGCACGACATGCACAGACCCGGCCCAATGGGAAGACGCCCTTCCCTTGATCAAGTTTGCGTACAATAATGCCCCATCGGCCGCAACTACTCAGTCCCCGTTCTTCCTTAATTACGGGATAGATCCGACAACCCCTCTATTGTCACCGATAGAAAATCCGGCCCAAAGTCTCAGCAGTTCGTCGAAAACCTCTGACAGTCTCAGCAAAAAGTCGCGAATGCCATCCTAAAAGCCAACCAGAGGGCTAAGCAGCAAGCATACCGACGACGCCGAGACTTAACACTTGTCCCTCGGCAATTGGTCCTGCTCGACACCAGGAATTTGGGAATCCCCTCTCAGAACTTAGGACACTAGCTTCTTAAGCTTAGGACACTAGCTTGGCTATGAAGCTAGGACACTAGGAAAGGCCGCCATGAAATGGCGGGAGGAAAGTAGATCTAGGAATGAGAGGAGAAAAGTCGAGAAAGAAGAGAGTCTCGATTAGGAAGAGAGAGTGGTACAATGAGGGGATTGTACCCTCTACAGAAAGGTTCAGTAACTACCAAGCCTATCAATTATATATAATTTATATAATCTTAACATCCCCCTCCCAAATAAATTACGACCAAGATTTTGCGGACCCTTCCGCGTCATTCGCATGGTGACACCAGTCACCGCCCATCTCCAACTGCCGACCGACAGGCGAATTCATGATTCGTTCCACATCAGTCTCATACGACCATTCGTCCCGAATGCGACCAATCTCGACCGAAAATACATTAATCCTACAGTCAACCCAGTACCCGAGCTGACGACAGCGCCATCCAAGATCCTCGCTCATCGCGTACAGGGACATCGAGACACAGCAGCCGTCGATTTCGTTGTACGCTGGGTCGATCGCACAAGTGACGACGACCTCTGGGTTCCCGCAGCCACGCTCGGTGAAAACAGAGTTGTCCAGGGACTATTTATACCGACGACATGTCCCGGATGTGGGTAGCCTCATCCTAGAAGGGGGGGTGGTGTAAGGAAACTCCCTTTTCCTTTCTGGGCTCGACTATAGCGCGTACGCCCTCGACTCTCGGAAGTCCAGGCCCGGCCAACTTATTCGGTCCCGAACCACTTCGCGAACCCAAACCTAGACGCGCGGCGCTTCTGTAGCTTCCGCCAACCGGACCGCCCCAACCTGTTCGCGTGGTTCTCGGCTAGCTCTGTTCGTGCCTATAAATGCCTAGCCCCTCATTTGTATCAACACTCCTGAATCACGACTCCTTTATTACACTACCTGTTATTACTCATATTAATTCATAACACGTAGACCTGGTCGTTAGGCAGCCGAGGCCCCTTGGATTTCCTTCACCATCTCACCACCTCGCCATCGAGCGCTGAACAAAATCAGACCGCACGTCACAATATTTAGTAGCAATTGCTCATCTGCGCAGCCGTGCCCTCCCCACCTCCGTGCACCTTCTCGGCCCCCTCCTAGCGCCCCCATCCTCCCGCCGCCTTTGGTGTCTCTTCGTCTTAGATCCCCCATTCCCCGTCACTCGTTAGTCGAGCGCGTCACCGCCATGCCCGCACCCGGCATGGGCGGCTTCCGCGACCTCGCTCCGCGCGCAATGGGTGCTCCGGGAGGGGGGATGAGCGGGGCGCTGAGGGACGGGGACGCGCAGGGAGCGCCGTTGCGGGACGGTGGGGGTTCCGCAGCGGGGGAGCGTACAGGGACGCGGGGATGGGCATGAGGGACGCGGCAGCACCAGGTTACCGGGAGATGGGCGGCGCTGGTCCGTTCCGCGACAGGGAGGTGGCTCCGGGGCACGATGGCGCCATGGCGGCGAGCGGCGGTGGAGGAACCTTGAACCGATTGTCAGGCAGTGGCAGCGGGGGAAACCTAAACCGTCTATCAAACGACACTGTAACGGGGATGATGACGTCAACATCGTCCCCGCCTCGGTACCGCCCCAACGCAGCTGCAGGCGGGCCGGCGTTTTTGGGGTCGCCGGCCATGAGCGACGCCATGGGCATGGGGGGAGGCATGGGACCGCCCATGGCGGGCGCGATGGGGGGGCCGATGGGGGGCCAGCGGCAGAAGCGGCGGGGCAGCAGCGCGCGGTACTACTACCAGTTGGTGGCGGTGGTGCGGCAGAACCTGCCTTATTTGGTGATCGCGCTGCTGCTGGCCGTCATCGCGCTCATGCGCACGCCCGCCCCCGCCCCCGCCGCCACGCCCGCCGCCCTCGCCACCGCCTCCCTCGCAGCAGGCGGGGCGGACCCCGCAGCAGCAGCGGGGGGTGCGGCAGGGGGAAAGCAGGTGGTGAACGGGGCGGGAATGGGAGGGGGGACAGCAGGGACGGCAGGAGGAGGGGCAGGGGGGGGGGCAGGGGGAGGAGGGGCGAAACCAGGGGAGGTGGCAGGCAGACAGGTGCTGCAGGGGGCGGGGCGGGCGGCGGGGGCAGTGCCCGCTGCCACGGCAGGCACAGCAGCGGGGAAGGCCGCGGGCGGAGCAGGGGGGGGGTCAGGCGTGGGGGGACTGTCGCTGGGGCTGAGTCGGTTTGGGCTGGGCGGCGGGCAGAAGACGAACCTGATCAGCATCCTCAAGGCCAACCCCGACGCCGTGGAGGCGCGCGAGGCCACGCGCAACTACCGGTTCAGGGAGCACGCGCCGGTGTACGGGCTGGTGCACTTCGCGAGCTACCGCATGAGCGCCGTGAAGTTCGCCATCGTGGGGCTGGCAGGGCGCGCGCTGAGGGAGTCGCGGAAGCTGGGCAAGTGCCTGTGGAAGGAGAAGAACGGCGGACACCGCGTCACCGGCACTCTCACAGGTGGGGTGGTGCTGCGTCACAGGCACACTCACAGGTGGGGTGGTGCTGCATCACAGGCACACTCACAGGTGGGGTGGTGCTGCATCACAGGCACACTCACAGGTGGGGTGGTGCTGCATCACCGGCACACTCACAGGTGGGGTGGTGCTGCATCACCGGCACACTCACAGGTGGGGTGGTGCTGCATCACAGGCACACTCACAGGTGGGGTGGTGCTGCATCACAGGCACACTCACAGGTGGGGTGGTGCTGCATCACAGGCACACTCACAGGTGGGGTGGTGCTGCATCACAGGCACACTCACAGGTGGGGTGGTGCTGCATCACAGGCACACTCACAGGTGGGGTGGTGCTGCATCACAGGCACACTCACAGGTGGGGTGGTGCTGCATCACAGGCACACTCACAGGTGGGGTGGTGCTGCATCACCGGCACACTCACAGGTGGGGTGGTGCTGCATCACCGGCACACTCACAGGTGGGGTGGTGCTGCATCACAGGCACACTCACAGGTGGGGTGGTGCTGCATCACAGGCACACTCACAGGTGGGGTGGTGCTACATCACAGGCACACTCACAGGTGGGGTGGTGCTGCATCACAGGCACACTCACAGGTGGGGTGGTGCTACATCACAGGCACACTCACAGGTGGGGTGGTGCTGCATCACAGGCACACTCACAGGTGGGGTGGTGCTGCATCACAGGCACACTCACAGGTGGGGTGGTGCTGCATCACAGGCACACTCACAGGTGGGGTGGTGCTGCATCACAGGCACACTCACAGGTGGGGTGGTGCTGCATCACAGGCACACTCACAGGTGGGGTGGTGCTGCATCACAGGCACACTCACAGGTGGGGTGGTGCTGCATCACAGGCACACTCACAGGTGGGGTGGTGCTGCATCACCGGCACACTCACAGGTGGGGTGGTGCTGCCTCACAGGCACACTCACAGGTGGGGTGGTGCTGCATCACAGGCACACTCACAGGTGGGGTGGTGCTGCATCACAGGCACACTCACAGGTGGGGTGGTGCTGCATCACAGGCACACTCACAGGTGGGGTGGTGCTGCATCACAGGCACACTCACAGGTGGGGTGGTGCTGCATCACAGGCACACTCACAGGTGGGGTGGTGCTGCATCACCGGCACACTCACAGGTGGGGTGGTGCTGCATCACCGGCACACTCACAGGTGGGGTGGTGCTGCATCACCGGCACACTCACAGGTGGGGTGGTGCTGCATCACAGGCACACTCACAGGTGGGGTGGTGCTGCATCACAGGCACACTCACAGGTGGGGTGGTGCTACATCACAGGCACACTCACAGGTGGGGTGGTGCTGCATCACAGGCACACTCACAGGTGGGGTGGTGCTGCATCACAGGCACACTCACAGGTGGGGTGGTGCTGCATCACAGGCACACTCACAGGTGGGGTGGTGCTGCAACACAGGCACACTCACAGGTGGGGTGGTGCTGCATCACAGGCACACTCACAGGTGGGGTGGTGCTGCATCACCGGCACACTCACAGGTGGGGTGGTGCTGCATCACCGGCACACTCACAGGTGGGGTGGTGCTGCATCACAGGCACACTCACAGGTGGGGTGGTGCTGCATCACAGGCACACTCACAGGTGGGGTGGTGCTACATCACAGGCACACTCACAGGTGGGGTGGTGCTGCATCACAGGCACACTCACAGGTGGGGTGGTGCTACATCACAGGCACACTCACAGGTGGGGTGGTGCTGCATCACAGGCACACTCACAGGTGGGGTGGTGCTGCATCACAGGCACACTCACAGGTGGGGTGGTGCTGCATCACCGGCACACTCACAGGTGGGGTGGTGCTGCATCACCGGCACACTCACAGGTGGGGTGGTGCTGCATCACAGGCACACTCACAGGTGGGGTGGTGCTGCATCACAGGCACACTCACAGGTGGGGTGGTGCTACATCACAGGCACACTCACAGGTGGGGTGGTGCTGCATCACAGGCACACTCACAGGTGGGGTGGTGCTACATCACAGGCACACTCACAGGTGGGGTGGTGCTGCATCACAGGCACACTCACAGGTGGGGTGGTGCTGCATCACAGGCACACTCACAGGTGGGGTGGTGCTGCATCACAGGCACACTCACAGGTGGGGTGGTGCTGCATCACAGGCACACTCACAGGTGGGGTGGTGCTGCATCACAGGCACACTCACAGGTGGGGTGGTGCTGCATCACAGGCACACTCACAGGTGGGGTGGTGCTACATCACAGGCACACTCACAGGTGGGGTGGTGCTGCATCACAGGCACACTCACAGGTGGGCTGGTGCTGCATCACAGGCACACTCACAGGTGGGGTGGTGCTGCATCACCGGCACACTCACAGGTGGGGTGGTGCTGCATCACAGGCACACTCACAGGTGGGGTGGTGCTGCATCACAGGCACACTCACAGGTGGGGTGGTGCTACATCACAGGCACACTCACAGGTGGGGTGGTGCTGCATCACAGGCACACTCACAGGTGGGGTGGTGCTACATCACAGGCACACTCACAGGTGGGGTGGTGCTACATCACAGGCACACTCACAGGTGGGGTGGTGCTGCATCACAGGCACACTCACAGGTGGGGTGGTGCTGCATCACAGGCACACTCACAGGTGGGGTGGTGCTGCATCACAGGCACACTCACAGGTGGGGTGGTGCTGCATCACAGGCACACTCACAGGTGGGGTGGTGCTGCATCACAGGCACACTCACAGGTGGGGTGGTGCTGCATCACAGGCACACTCACAGGTGGGGTGGTGCTGCATCACCGGCACACTCACAGGTGGGGTGGTGCTGCATCACAGGCACACTCACAGGTGGGGTGGTGCTGCATCACAGGCACACTCACAGGTGGGGTGGTGCTGCATCACAGGCACACTCACAGGTGGGGTGGTGCTGCATCACAGGCACACTCACAGGTGGGGTGGTGCTGCATCACAGGCACACTCACAGGTGGGGTGGTGCTGCATCACAGGCACACTCACAGGTGGGGTGGTGCTGCATCACCGGCACACTCACAGGTGGGGTGGTGCTGCATCACCGGCACACTCACAGGTGGGGTGGTGCTGCATCACCGGCACACTCACAGGTGGGGTGGTGCTGCATCACAGGCACACTCACAGGTGGGGTGGTGCTGCATCACAGGCACACTCACAGGTGGGGTGGTGCTACATCACAGGCACACTCACAGGTGGGGTGGTGCTGCAACACAGGCACACTCACAGGTGGGGTGGTGCTGCATCACAGGCACACTCACAGGTGGGGTGGTGCTGCATCACAGGCACACTCACAGGTGGGGTGGTGCTGCAACACAGGCACACTCACAGGTGGGGTGGTGCTGCATCACAGGCACACTCACAGGTGGGGTGGTGCTGCATCACAGGCACACTCACAGGTGGGGTGGTGCTGCATCACAGGCACACTCACAGGTGGGGTGGTGCTGCATCACAGGCACACTCACAGGTGGGGTGGTGCCAGTGAGGAACGTCGGAGTTGGTGGGTATAGCAGGCGATCATCATGCTCAGTATGTCTCTGCTTGCCCGAGTCATGCATGTTTCATTTCTCTGCGTGCTCATGCATGTTTCTAAGCATGCGCTAAGCATGCACGTTGCACGCCTCCCGTGCGCTTATCATGCATGTTGCAAGTCTCTGCATGCTTTGATCTTGCATCTTGCATGTCTCTGCTTGCCCTTATCATGCATGTTGCATGTCTCTGCATGCTTTGATCTTTGCATGTGGCATGTCCCTGCTTGCCCTTATCATGCATGTTGCATGTCTCTGTATGCTTTGATCTTGCATGTTGCATGTCTCTGCTTGCCCTTATCATGCATGTTGCATGTCTCTGCATGCTTTGATCTTGCATGTTGCATGTCTCTGCTTGCCCTTATCATGCATGTTGCATGTCTCTGCATGCTTTGATCTTGCATGTTGCAGGTCTCTGCCTGCCCTTATCATGCATGTTGCATGTCTCTGCATGCTTTGATCTTGCATGTTGCATGTCTCTGCTTGCCCTTATCATGCATGTTACATGTCTCTGCATGCTTTGATCTTGCATGTAGACATGGGTATATCGCATCGTATCGCGATATGTCGCATCGCATTTTATCGCATTTTGCGATTGCGATTTTTATTTTTTTTTACTAAAAATCGCAGGGATGCAATGTGATAATATCGCGCGATTTTTGCGATATCGCGCAGTTATCGCGGATTTTTCAGCGCGATATAACGCGATATGCGATATTAAAATATCGTGCGCCATACATCCGCATATCGCGTCGCGGAATTGTGGCAGAAAGGGGGGGAAACATGGGCGCGGGCCCTGAACTTGGCAAAAATTCGGGTTCTCTGGTTGTAATGGCGTGCGGAAATTGCGCGCGGCTGTTTGGGGTTGGCGTAATTGACGGGGAGGTGTTTGTGAGGAGCTTGGAGAGGAAGGGTTGGAAATTCTAGTTGAAAAGGAGTGCAGTGCGGTTGAGGGAAGGGAGTTGGTTGGAGGTTCAAATTTTGACATGGGTGGTGGTGGATGGAATGTGGTGGTGTGCGGTTAAAGGGATTTAGGGGGTTGATGGAAATCTCGATCCCCACTAAGTCAATTGGTTGGAAGTCCAACCAATTTCCACCACTTCAACCGCACTACATTCCTCCACATCTACGGAATCCAACCCCTGCCCTTCTAACACGCTTTAAATCAGAGAGGGGCTACGATTTCCCATTCTCCCCTTAAACTTCACTCACCTAATTCCTCGCACACCTAGGAAAGCCGGCCTTGTCGTTCTGCTTTTCTCCTCCGACCCCTAAATGTGATGCGATATTAAATCGCATTCATGGGTGCGATATTTTGTAACATGGCACCCTAAAAAGCGATATGCGATTTCAATTTTTGAAACCAGCGATGCGATATCGCATCGCTGCGATATCACGCGCGATATGACAAAATGCGATGCGATATCGCATCGCATCGCATTTTAACCATGTCTACTTGCATGTTGCATGTCTCTGATTGCCCTTGTCATGCATGTTGCATGTCTCTGCATGCTTTGATCTTGCATGTTGCATGTCTCTGCTTGCCCTTATCATGCATGTTGCATGTCTCTGCATGCTTTGATCGTGCATGTTGCATGTCTCTGCTTGCCCTTATCATGCATGTTGCACGTCTCTGCATGCTTTGAACTATCATGTTGCATGTCTCTGCTTGCCCTTATCATGCATGTTCACTGGCGCATGCTGCTTGCTTATCCTGCTTGTGTGGCAACCCTCCAAGGTTTGTCCACCACCATACGCCCACTTCATGCCGCCCTTCCCTCCCGGCCGCCCCAGCATACTACCCGGGCGAGCACCACAACCTGCGGTACGAGGCGGTGGTGCTGGTGTGCGAGCTGGAGGAGTCCACGGAGGCGGACTACGGGGGGCTGCTGCTGGCGACGGTGGACAAGGAGGACGTGGTGGCGTACCTGGAGGAGGCGCACCACTTCCCCTCCGCCACGCCCAAGGCGCCCTTCAAGTACCAGCTCACGTACTGCTCGCCGCCGCTGGCGGGCAAGATCATCCCGCGGCGCATGTACGAGTGGATGGAGTTCCACCTGCACACGGCCGTCGACCGCATGGTGCTGTACGACGCGGGCGGCATCGGCGCGGCGCTGATGGCGGTGCTGGAGCCGTACACGGAGCAGGGCTTGGTGGAGGTGGTGGACGTGCGCGGGATCACTGCGTACGAGGCGTGGGAGAAGGGCCGCCTGCTCGTGCTCAACGACTGCGTGCAGCGCCACCGCTTCACCTCCAAGTGGGTCTTCTTCGCCGAGATGACCGACTTCTTCTCTGCCGCCAACGGCGAGACGCTGCTCGCCACCGTCAACGCGTACGACGGCCGCCCCTACGTCACGTTCGGCAGCCGCTGGTGGTCGTTTGAGAAGTGCACCTTCTCGTCGCTCACAGAGCGCATCGTGGTGCGCGGCGCCGCCATGCTGGAGGGCGCGGGGGCGGGCGACGAGGGCAAGGCGGACGTGGGGGGGATAGCGGAGGGCGGCGCGGGGGAGGGCGGTGTGCAGGTGACGGAGGGCGCGGAGAAGGCAGCGGTGGAGCAGCCGTGGGCGTTGGAGCGCATGCTGTTCCGGTGGCCGCACATCTACTGCACCAACAAGGAGGCGTACCCGCGCTGGGAGCTCTGCCTAGACTACCACGGCTTTCGCCGCGTGGCGGCGGACCCGCGGCAGGTGATAGCGGTGCAGATCCACCGCGTGGAGGTGCCGCGCATGGGCGGTGTGGACGTGGACACGGACGCGGCGCGCTTCAACCACTTCCAGGGGCTGCTGGAGGACGAGCGCAAGTTCTGCATCAAGAGCGTGCGCCCCGGCGAGCAGCTCGAGTGGTGGGTGCGCGATCAGTCCCTGGCGCTGCTCGCACAGGAGGCCAGGCAGTCGCCGCGCGCCAAGTTCAAGACCAGAGGGGGGTGAGAGGGGGGGGGGGAGGGGGAGAGTTGGGTAGGGGGGGTGAGGGAGGGGGGAGGAATGGGGCGAGAGATCTCCATTGTGGAGCCATGTATTGGTGGACATGACCTGATGTTGTGGCACATCTGTTCCAACAGGGTGGTTGTGGTGTCTGTTGTAGTATAATTTATACTTACCATTTCTGTAAGTCGTTTATCGATAGGTAGTGTCGAATCCTACTGTAGAAGATAAGTCCGTAGGATGACGTCAGCAAATACGGTAGCGCTCGTCATAGGACAATCGTTTTCAGTCACGCGATCAGTCGCACCTCTTCATTATCATTTAGGGCGCATAGCGCGATAGTGACGAACAGGTACATTTGCGAACAGGTACTTTCCTAGAGCTATAAATCCTTGTTACGGTATGCCTTTTTCATTATTAACTTTTGATTACCGTACTCACAAGTTCACGTACTCAGGTTATTCAACCTTGACTGCTACATTTTACAAGACTTCCGCAGTCTTACTAGTCTACCATTCCAGTAAAGATCCTAGGCCAACACTTGAGGTTTTCCAAGTGTTCGTGTTTGCAGATTTATACTTAGTCTCCTGCAACACCTGACAAATCATTACATGGTATGAGAGCTATCTGGAATTAAGACTACTGTCAACAATGACTGGAGCATCACCAGCACCATCTACTGGATCTAGTTCTGGAACTACTGGAGTACATGTCTCCACGACCGCCACTGGTCTCTCAGCCTCTGGACCGTTTCCACCGGCTTATGCGAACATCGGCATGCAGCAGCAGCAGCAGAATCCGCCTTCTGTCTGTACTCCGGGGGTTTCATCGACTGCACCTGCAGCGCAACAGCAACAAACACAGTCAACAGCACAACAACAAGCAACAGCACAACCACCGTTTTCAACACAGTCAATATCATCGGCGTTAAGTGGAATGAGCCTTGACGGCTCGAGTTATATGCGTGGAGCCACAGCTCCAAGTGTCAAACATGTGTATTTGTCATGTTTGTATAGACTGTATAGAGTCACCTCTTAGAGGATACAAAACTTAGATATATTTGTGTGTACTCTCACTTTACATAATCATTCAATTCTAAGTTTCTGATATGGTATCACGCGTAGGTAGGATCCTCCCCCACCTACCGCTTCCGCTCATCCCCCCTGGCCCTGTAGCGCCCCCCCTCAGGCCCCGTCGCGCCCCTCCCAGGCCCTCTAGCGCCCCTCCTGGGCCTCGTCGCGTTCCTCCCAGGCCCCGTAGCGCCACGTCGCGCCCCTCCTGGGCCCCGTAGCGCCCCCCCCCTGGGCCTCGTCGCGCCCCTCCTGGGCTTCGTAGCGCCCCTCCTGGGCCCTGTACCGCCCTCCCAGGACCCGTCGCGCCCCTCCCAGGCCCCGTCGCGCCTCTCCCAGGCCCTCTAGCGCCCCCCCCTGGGCCCCGTCGCGCTCCTCCCAGGCCCCGTAGCACCCCGTCGCGCCCCTCCTGGGCCCCGTAGCGCCCCTCCTGGGCCTCGTCGCGCCCCTCCTGGGCTTCGTAGCGCCCCTCCTGGGCCCTGTAACGCCCTCCTAGGCCCCGTCGCGCCCCTCCCAGGCCCCGTCGCGCTCCTCCCAGGCCCCCTAGCGCCCCTCCTGGGCCCCGTCGCGCTCCTCCCAAACCTCGTAGCGCCCCTCCTGGGCTCTGTCGCGCCCCTCCTGGGCCCCGTCGCGCTCCTTCCAGGCCCCGTAGCGCCCCTCCTGGGCTCTGTCGCGCCCCTCCTGGGCTCCGTAGCGCCCCTCCTGGGCTTCGTAGCGCCTCTCCTGGGCCCCCCGTCGTGCCCCTCCTGGGCCAAGTAGCGCCCCTCCTGGGCCGCGTCGTACCCGTCGCCGCCGCCCGGCCCCGTCGCGCCCGCCCGGCGCCGTCGCGCCCGCCCGACCCCGTCGCGCCCGCCCGGCCCCGTCGCGCCCGCCCGGCGCCGTCGCAGCTGCCCGGCCCCGTCGCACCCGCCCGGCGCCGTCGCACCCTGCCCGGCCCCGTCGCGCCCGCCCGGCCCCGTCGCACCCTGCCTGGTCCCGTCGCAGCCGCCCGGCCCCGTCGCACCCACCCGGCCCCGTCGCACCCTGCCCGGCCCCGTCGCAGCCGCCCGGCCCCGTCGCACCAGCCCGGCCGCCGTCCCGCTCGCCCGGCCCCGTCGCACCGGCCCGGCCCTGCCGCACTCGCCCGGCCCCGTCGCCCCAGCCCGGCCCCGTCGCGCCCGCTCGGCCCCGTCGCCCCGTCCCGGCCCTGTCGCACCAGCCCGGCCCCGTCGGGCCAGCCCCGGCCCCGTTCTCCTCACTGGTACGGTTCCCCCCCCCCCCCCCCCCCCACCCCGCCCTGCTCCGTGCCGCCCTGCACCGCACTGCACCGCACTGTACCGCACTGCACCGCACTGTACCGCACTGTACCGCACTGCACCGCACTGCATCGCACTGCACCGCACTGCACCGCACTGCACCGCACTGTATCGCACTGCACCGCACCCCACCTAGCTGCACCGCCCTGCACAGCACTGGACTGTTCCTGATGGCGGCGGAGCTTCGCTTCGACGCTGAAGGTCAGCCCCTAGAGTTCGAGGCGTGGCTTGCCGACCTCCGCCGCCAACTCACTGGCCAGCGGCAGGATGGTGAACCGCTTTCCGCACACCTTGACGGTACGCTCCCCTGCCCAGACCCTCCTGCTATTCTGCCCGCTGACCCCACACCCACTGAGCGTGAGTCTACTGCTGCCACTGCCCGTGCGCGCTCTGTCTGGCTTTCTCGCGATGCTGTCGCCCAGCTTGCCATTAGCAACGCCCTTCCCCCGTCCGAGCGCCCTCGCTTTAGGTCCCTCACTACTGCTCAGGCATACTTAGATGCTGTCATCAAGCGCTATTCCACCCCTCCGGCTGCCTCGGTGGGTCGCCTGATCCTCCCACTGCTCTTTCCTGACCTTGCTTCGTTCCCCACTGTCTCTGACCTCGCTGCCCACCTGCGCTCGATAGAGGAGACCTGGCGCGCCGCCTGCACTGACACACAGCTTAGAGCCCACCAGCCGCCCATTGCCTCTACCCTCTACCTGCTTGCCACCCGCCTCCCTGACCGCCTTGCTGTCGCCCGCGACCGCTTCCTTAGTGTTCACCCCGCAGACCTCACCCTCACTGACTTTGTCGACACCCTGACTGTGATAGAGACCCGTCACCGCTCCATCGCCCAGGCGAGCGGTGTCGTGCCGGTCCCTATCTTTCAGGGTTGTGCCCCCGCTCAGTGTACCTTCTCCGACGGCTCTGCCGCAGTGGCTGAGACTGCTGCTGCAGCGCAGGCCCGTTCTGGGAAGGGCCGCCGCCCCAAGGCTGGGCGCGGCGGAGGGGGCGGCGGGGGTGCGGGCGGGGGTAGTGGTGGGGTCGGGTCGCCTGGTGCTGGAGCGGACGAGGGGACCCTGCCCAGTCCAGCTGAGTCGCCGCCCCTGCAGTTGCAGCAGCCGCAGCAGCCGCCGCAGTCGCAGCCTTCGCAGCAGCCGCAGCAGCCGTCGCAGACGCGGCAGATGAGTGTTCTCCCGCCAGGGTGGCCCGACGCTGGCGGTGGACGGGCGCGTGGTGGTGTGCCGCATGGTGGCTCTGCCGGCCGGCGTTGTCAGTACCAGATCCAGACCGGTCCTCGCCGCGGCTTCGTTTGCGGTAAGATCGGTCACTCCACTCCCCGCTGCTTTCGTCGCCTGGACGACCTCTTTCGTCAGCGTTTCGGCCCGTCGCCAGACCTCCCGGACTGGCACAGTTTGCTTAGTCGTCAGATTCAGATCTTTGATATGGACATGGATGCCATTGTTTCTGCTCTGCATGTGATGTATGCTGATGACTCTAGTGTGCTTCCGACTTATTACTCACTGTTGCCTAGTGTAGGTGTGCCTAGCTTAGCCTCCCCTGCTGCGTCAGGCGTAGGATCCCCTCCTTTGTGTAGTCTTGGTGCTTCTGCCGTCGTTCCGTCGCCAGACCCCTCGGCTTCGCTTTCCTTCACCTTGGACTCTGGCGCCTCTCGGTGTTTCTTCCGCGACTCCACCACCCTGACGCCGCTTCCTGTTCCTGCTGCCGTTTCTCTTGCTGACCCCTCCGGCGGTCCGGTAGTCGCCCGCAGTTCCACCACCCTTCCCTGTCCGGCGGTTCCTTCGGGCTCTCTTACAGGTCTGCATATCCCCTCGTTCTCCAGGAACCTAGTTGGTGTCGGCTGCCTCCAGGACCTTGGCGTCACCACTACGTTCCCTGGTCACGAGCGGTATGCTGTCTGTACCGAGGCCGCCACTGGTGCCCCCCTGTCCACGTTCCCCCGGGACCCGGTGTCCGGCCTGTTCACTCTGGACACCGTGCCCCCCCCGGCTGGAGCGCCCCCTCAGGTGGCTGTGTCTACCCAGGTTGCTGCTGCCTGCTCCTGTCGCTCCCTCACTCACCCGACCCTCCTGTGGCACCACCGCCTAGGTCACCCTGCGCTCCCGCGTCTGCGTCACATGTCCCAGCACGGTCTTGTCCTTGGTCTCCCAGGTTCACTCCCCGCGTTTCCCTCCTCCCCAGCTCCACCTTGCACGCCTTGTGTCGAGGGTCGGCTTCGCCGTGCCCCTCACTCCTCCTCGTTCCCCCCTACCGCCGCGCCGCTGCAGACCCTGCACATGGACGTCTGGGGCCCCGCCCCCGTCCATGGGCCGCGTCGAGAGCGCTACTTCCTTGTGCTTGTCGACGACTTCACTCGTTACACCACAGTCTTTCCCCTGGAGCGCAAGGCCGACGTGCCTGGCGCCCTCATCCCCTGGCTTGTCTCTGCGCGTGTCCACCGCGGTCTCCCTGTCTTGCGTCTTCACTCAGACCGTGGTGGCGAGTTTGCCTCAGGTGTCCTTGGTCGCTTTTGTCGTGCGGAGGGCATCACCCAGACGTTCACCCTACCGGACTCCCCACAGCAGAATGGGGTCGCTGAGCGACGCATCGGTTTGGTCATGGAGGTCGCTCGCACCTCCATGGTCCATGCCGGTGCACCCCATTTTCTGTGGCCGTTCGCTGTGCGCTACGCTTCTCACCAGCTTAACCTGTGGCCGCACCCTCAGCAGCCGCAGGTTTCGCCGACCCGTCTGTGGACTGGGTCTCCTGGTGACGCGTCTGCGTTCCACGTCTGGGGCTGCCTTGCTCACGTCCGTGCCTCCGGCACGGACAAGCTCACTGCCCGCACCCTTCCCTGCGTCTTCCTCGGTTTTCCCCTTGACGCGTCCGACTGGCACTTTTACCACCCGCCGTCTCACCGCTTCTTTCACTCTCGTGACGTCACCTTTGACGAGTCCGTCTCCTACTACCGCCGCTTCCCCCACCGTGGTCCCCCGGTTACCCCCCCCCTGTTCCTGGTCACCCCTTCCCCGGTAGTCCCTGCCCCTCCTCCTCCTCCTCCCCGTCCCGCCCCCTCTGGTGTCTCCCACGTCGCCCCCCTTCCGTCCGTGGACCCGGTTGAGGAGTCTTCTGACTCTGGTGGCCCTCCGGTGCAGTTCTCGCCGGCCGCCCCTCCCCAGGTGTCCCCTCCCCAGTCCCCTCCTCCGCCGCCCCTGCCGCCACTGCAGCCGTCGCCGTCGCCGCCGCCGCCGCCGCCGCCGTCGCAGCCCCCGTTCGCTGACTCTGGGGGTGCTCGTCCCGGTCGCCCTGAGGGTGGTCCCTCTGGGGGTGCGGGTGTGGAGAGTGCCGGTGGTAGCCGCGGCGCAGCTTGCGGTCCAGGTGTCGCCGTTGTGCTGCCGCAGCAGCAGTCCCCGCCGGTGTCCGCCCTTCGCCTGCTCGGCCTTCCGTCCCCCGACCCTGCGTCGGTTTCTCCCCAACCGTCTCCTCCTCTTCCTGTCTACGGCCCTGTTTTCCCTCCGCCGGACTCGTCCCCGGCCCGTCTCCCCCCTCGTTCCCCTCCTGTGTCCCCTCCCCTGTCTCCTGACCCGACTCCTCCGTCGCACGTCTGGTCTCACCGTCCCTCCCGTGCTCGTCCTGCCTCGCCTGTCCTGCGCTCCCACCCTATGTTGCTTCGTTCACACGCGTCTCGTCCTCCCCTTCTGCCGTTGCCTCCTCCGTCCTCCCTTGTTGTTGCGCCCCCCCCGCTGTCTGACTACCTTCGTGCCGCTCGTCCTCTCGTTCCTCGGGTCCTTGCCTCTCTCGTTACCGACCCGTCTGTTCCAGTCTCGTGCCTTGACGCTCTTGTCGCTGCTGTCGCTGACTTCGCCTCTACCCGCCGCCTTGACTACGCCACCGCTCTGGTCTCTGACCCTGCCTGTCCTCCGTCTGTCGGGGGTGCTCCTGCCCTTGGCAGTGACGTCCTGGAGGACCGCCAGTTTGAGCTTGCTTTCCTCTCCGAGGCTGCTCCCCATCTCTGTTCCATGCTGCTAGTCCCTGAGGGTGACCCAGACGCTTTCGACATCCCGACCCCTCGCACTTACGCTGAGGCGACTTCGGGACCCTGGGCCTCGCAGTGGATAGCTGCCATGGAGCAGGAGATGGCATCTTGGAGATCCACCGGCACCTTCGTCGACGCAGTTCCCCCACCTGGGGTGAACGTAGTCGATGGCCGCTGGCTCTTCAAGGTGAAGCGCCCTCCTGGAGAGCCGCCTGTCTTCAAGGCGCGCTATGTGGCTAGAGGCTTCAGTCAGCGCGAGGGGGTGGACTTCTTCCAGACTTTCGCTCCGACCCCGAAGATGACTACTCTTCGGGTTCTGTTACACCTAGCTGCTCAGCGTGACTACGAGCTTCACTCCCTCGACTTCTCCACTGCCTTCCTTCAGGGCAGCCTACACGAGCAGGTCTACCTGCGCCGCCCTCCGGGCTTTACTGGCACCTTCCCTCCTGGGACCCAGTGGCTCCTGCGGCGCCCCGTCTACGGCCTGCGCCAGGCTCCCCGTGAGTGGCACGACACTCTGCGTGCTACGCTTGCTGACCTGCAGTTCTTTCCGTCTTCTGCAGACCCTTCACTCTTCGTTCGTGGTGGCGAGACTCCGTTCTACATCCTCGTTTACGTCGACCACCTGGTCTTTGCCACAGCAGACAGGGACGCGCTGGCCTCCGTGAAGGCAGAGCTGCTGAAGAGACACACCTGCACTGACCTTGGAGAACTGCGCCGTTACCTTGGCTTGCAGATCTCCAGGGACAGAGCAGCGCGCACCATCACCCTGACTCAGTCACACTTGGTGCGCCAGGTCCTTCAGAGGTTCAGCCTTCAGTTCTCCTCTGCACAGCCCACCCCTCTGCCTGTAGACCACAGGCTCTCCGCTCCAGTGCCTGAGGAGTTGGTAGAGCCCAGCGGCCCCTACGCAGAGCTGGTGGGTTGCCTCATGTACCTGATGACTTGCACTCGCCCAGATCTCGCATACCCTCTCAGCATCCTGGCTCGCTTTGTGGCCACAGGCACACACCGACCGCAGCACTGGTCTGCCGCTAAGAGGGTTCTGCGTTATCTTGCTAGTACATCGGGCATGGGGTTAGTGCTAGGAGGACGCAGGCCAGCGGTCCTTACTGGGCACACAAACGCTTCGTGGGCAGACGACGCTGAGACACTCAGGTCTACCCAGGGCTACTGCTTCAGCCTTGGCTCAGGTGCCGTCTCGTGGAGAGCTACTCGCTCCTCGTCTGTTGCACAGTCCAGCTGTGAGGCCGAGATCTACGCCGGTGCCATGGCGGCACAGGAGCTCCGCTGGCTGACCTTCTTGCTCACTGACTTAGGTGAGCGGCCTAGCTCTGCCCCGGTCCTGTTCGCTGACAACAGGGCCATGATCCTCCTGTGTCAGGAGCCTCGACTCGAGGGCAGAGCGAAGCACATTCAGCTGCGGTACTTCCTCCTGCGTGAGCTACAGCAGCGACGTCAGGCTCGCGTAGTACACTTGGCCTCAGGTGCCAACACGGCTGATATCTTTACGAAGGCGCTTGCGCCTAAAGATCATCAGCGGCACTGTGTACAGCTTGGTCTAGTTCCTGTAGCCTCTCACTTGCTAGGACCTTGACTTTGTACTGTCCTTTATATGTATACTCAGACTGGACTTGTGTCCTCTCCCAGTGGCTGGACTAGTAGTGCCGCCCTGCTCTTGTGCTTGCCTTGTCTGTACTCCTTCTGACCGGTCGCTCAGACCCTTGCCTCAGAGGTTGGACTAGTAGTGCCGCCCTGAGCTGCTTGTTTAGGGTATTCCCTTATGCAGTCTAGGGGGTGTGTCAAACATGTGTATTTGTCATGTTTGTATAGACTGTATAGAGTCACCTCTTAGAGGATACAAAACTTAGATATATTTGTGTGTACTCTCACTTTACATAATCATTCAATTCTAAGTTTCTGATACCAAGTACTGGTTCGTTTGCTTTCTCACCTTTTGCGCAGCAGCCACAGTCACAGCAGCAGCAGCATCCCTTTTACATCTTCGGGCGTCCTCCTGCTCAGCAACAGCAACAACAACAGCATCAACAGCCACAGCAATTTCAGCAACAGCAACAACACTAATAGCAACAGCAGCAACAGCAACAGCCTCAACAACCGGGTATTATTTCTCAACCGCCAAATTTGCTTAACAGTACATAGATTAAAACCACCATACCTTTTAATGGAGTTGATTTTTACTCCTGGACCTTCGAGTTTGAGCTTCTGGCGCAGTCCGCTGGGCTATGGCCGTTCTTCACCGGTGAGTTTACTTATCCTGTTGTGGGAACACAACTAGATCAGCAGAGTTTTTTGCACGCCTCTCTCGGTGCGTATACAGTACTTGTACGGAACCTATCGCCGAAGGAGCAGTTCGGTATCTGATCGTTTCATTCAAGCTTTACACCAGCTGAAACTGCATGGAACCACTTGAAGGGGGTTTACATGGCAAAAGATACAATAACAGTGAGTAAGATTCTTTCGCAGTTAACAAGTGTGCAGATGATGACAAACGAGAACATCATGGATCACGTCAACCGCGTCCGTACACTACGGGATCAACAGGAGAACGTGGATCGTCGGATCGGTGCGGAATCAACGGCACGAATACAGCAGAGACTACACTATGGGAAATCATCATCATGGAGACAACATTCGGTACCAGCGACTGCACAATCGACGCATCTTCTGACTGGTGTCGATAACGATCGAGTTATTTTGACGAAGTCATCTTCGTTAAAAACAGATCGACATCAACACGACGGGATCTTCACCCAGGAAAAACAATGGAGCTGCGTGAAGACATGTTCTCCATCCACGAGACACTTTTTCATACAAATTGATCGACAAGTTATGGGATTGCAGAGAAGTAGCCGTTTTCTCTTGCAATGCTCCCAAGTTCAAGTTGCTGCAAAGGAGCAGATTTCGCACGCAACGACGACGCAGTGAACCCGTCTCGTCAAGGCCAGCGAGACACTACTTCGTAACAGGAGCTGAACAATTCGTTTTCATCAAGAATCTCAGCCATCCGAGGTGATTGATTGGAGAAGTCTCAACATCGACCTCACGAGGCGACACACCAATCATGCGTCGCGATTCCAGGTGTTAATGACCTGCGTGGAAGAAAATTCCGTGCACGTCACGATGCTTGACAGATTGAGGAGTAATTAACCTCTAATCCGGCAAGTACTCGTTCACTAGCGACCCTACGGCACATGCATTGGAGGCGATTCTACCAGAAGCCGAAGCGTTACAAGCACCAACGTAACTTCGACGATGCAGGAGAACGTCAAGGAACACGAGGTGTCAACAAATGAGGGAGATGCGGACTACTACAACACGATCACGCGCTCTACCGACCGTACATCGGAGGCACGGATGAGCATACCAGGAATTGCTACCCGTGGATACTTTGAGGGGAGAAGCAAATTTCTCTTCACACCCTCAAATGAAACAATCACCGGCAGCAATGGAGCAACACATGTGTACCAATGTGCACGTGTTCCTGGTAGTTACGCCTGTTACACCCATCAGGAACACTCTACTGGGAAGGGGGAGTTGATGGATTCTCCTTCAACCGGTATGAGTTAAGAGAATTCTCTGCAGCAGGTGCCGCCGTCGCCATCGTCGCAACCGCCACCGCCGCCGCAGCAGAAGACTCGACACAACATTCATATCCAAACCCTGATGGATGATTCTCCGCTCAATGGATATAATGCTGGATTATATTCCAGTGGATCGTAAAGACCCGGCCAGGCACTACATTGATTTCCAGCTAGTGGGAAGGAGATACCACTATGCGAGGAAACAACATGGCAATGCCATATACCCTCAAGAGCATCAGATATTTGCTCTTATGGGGATGGGAGGACCACGGTGCTCTACCGATATACAGTCCTCATGGCCTATGGCTTTCCTTAAAGTCATAAAACCTGCGTCGCAACCAATCCATCACCAGCACCAGCTCCACGGAAGCAGATAGGCGTGGAATGGAGCGCCGACGCCACTCCGGACAGTGGACTCCGCGTATCTCCAACAACACCCCTGTTTGCCGAAATGGAGCAGACTTCAACACCGATGCTGAGTAGCCGAGACGTCTTCGACTGCAACGCTACTTCAAGGACAGTGGCAGAATAAGACAACACATGATAGCACCAGAAGACCTATCCCAATATGTGCGCCCAGACACCGATGCCTACCAATGGCCTCCGTGCTAAACTGGAAGCGCATAAGGTCATACTGGATTGGCTGTCACCAATGCTCATTTGGAAATGGGAGAGGATTACTTGGGAATACCCGTAACGTTCCCAGATATCCTAACCCATCACCATGGGATATCTACGCAGCTGAGATTCCTTGCCTGAGCAACCACCGAGGGAAACTACTTGGCGCTGATTCTGGAAGTTACCAGCTCCGCGTTTATGGTTCCAACCCCTCGCATGGTTCTGAACACAAGGGATACGCTGAGCAGCACTTGGCATGTGCTGTTGTACTCAAGGCAGTGTGATTAGCAGATCGCGCGGTGGACAGAGTTACTACTCGTGATTCTGCTCTCCAATCCGCAGCACTCCGATGCCCAGTGGGTACGACTCGCGACAACACTACGGCATGGACCATCATTCGACAGAAGCTGCATGTAACGGATACAACACTGCTACAGAAGCAGTACTATGACTGCCATACCACCAACACTTGGTGATCTTCACACGTGGACCAGATACGGGTAACAGCATGCACGGATCGGACAACATAGCCACTCATCTGCACGTTACAGCACACTGTTCCAACCATTCACATCTCCAACTCCGACTTGCATCTGCCCGTCCTGGAGTTTGCCTACAAGTATGCTCCTGACGCCGCTACTGGACAGACGCTGTACTTCGTCTGTTACGGACGCCACCCGATCACACCACAACAGCTAACCATACCAGCCACAGTCCAACTGGCTTCCGATTTCATCGCCATCGTCCACCATCTTGTACATCGACCACACAAGCGCCCTCTTGGACATCCAACATCAGCACAAGCACTTGACCCCTTATCATTACAGTCATCCACACCATAATCTCGACATCAGCCAACTTCCATCCAAGCTTCAACCTTGCTTCTGCGGGTCTATCATCGTTGAAGCAAGGGCCACTTCAGTCAACTTCCGCTTCCGCCTACCAGCCACTTAGAAGATCCATACCGCCTTCCATACCAGCTTCTTAAACCCTATCAAGACCAAACACGCTCTACACCAAATGCCAACCACCGTCGCCGCCGGTGTTCATCCACGCCATGTGACAACTACGTGCTCGGACACCGTCATCGTCAGACTGGCACTCTGGAGCTTCTTCTTTGCTGGAAGGGTTATGATACTTCTGAGGCTTCGTCTGTGAACTCGACATGGGTAACGCCCGTCGTCCTCTTCGCGACTACCTTGTTAAGCAGGGTGTTACGTCTACCACCCAGCTTTGAGGGGGGGAAGTGTGAGAGTACAACCCCGTTACACCAATTTCCCCTTTCCATATTTCCTTTCTATTTCATTCCTCTTATTATCCTCATTCATTTGGTCTTTATCTCATCTCATTTGGTTTCCTATTCCTCCTTTTCCATTATCCTTTGGTTTATCCTATTATTATGATTATATCACCGACCAGGCTCGGGATGTACTGGCACGCTATATCTAGCATAATCCTGCCGTAATCCCTTATAGCCAATAGCCTCGCGTGGCTATACGCATGGTGATTCTATTTCTAGAAGGGTCTATTTCCTTTGGATAGGATAAACCTGGTTACCTGATGTAATCTGGAAGTATAAAAGCACCTTGTACTGAATGATAGTGCAACATTGAGCAAACCTTTCCTTGGGACATTCGATCCTGTGACAGATACTTCCCTTGTGAGATGTATCTCACGTCCTTCTTGCTGGCCTTGGACCCGAATGGCGACAGACGCGCGCCTTCCTGCGCATGAATCCAAACCTCTCCGAAGCTGAAATTTTGTCGTATCTTCAAGCAGAACAGCAAGATCTCGACCTGCAGTCACAACGCAATCAGAAAAAGGGGGTACACTTGAGTTTTTACTCAAATTCAGAATCGCAACATCGTCATCCCCGAAGTATCCCATCTGTCATTTCTGCAAGAAACCAGGACACACTTACCAGAATTGACGCAGCACTTCACAACCTTATCATCGCTCGCAGCAGTTACCGAAGTCACATCAGCCAACGCAGCAGTCGGACGGCCCAGACGCAGCAGATGCCGAAAACGCCGCAGAATCCGTCGCCGTCACAGCATCGTCCTCCGGTCTTTGCATCTGCAACATCAGGAAAAGGGGTCTTTGGATGTGTTACCATAGTTGATGTTTCAGAAACAGATTTCGAGACACGACTTGAAGAAGCCACAAGTGCTGAAGGCATTCCCTTACCTCTAGTTTACGCTAACCTTGCTCGAATAATTTCAGGTCCAAATACTTGGTATCTCGACAGCTGCTGCGGTTGGCACATGTGCTCCGCTGAGACAAGCTTCATCACCAACCAACGCCCGCTTCGTCGTCCGATACCTGTCACAGTAGCAAACGGACAAACTATTATGGCAAGATCCATTGGAAGTGTCATGCTCGAATCAGTTGACACGTGATATTCACTACAGGTTACCAATGTTCTTATCATCGCTGGACTTGGCTTCTATCTTCTCTCCATGGCTCAGCTCCTGGCACACAAAATACGCACTCAAGGCAACTGTGATACAATGGATCTGGAGTTATGGCACAGTTTATCGAATACTTACCTCGGCCGTGCCGTCACTCAACATGGCATGTCCGTTCTTCAGTTCGCAGCACAGGGAACTTCTAGAGATTCTGAACGCGTCCTTGCACTTGGTCCCTGGGATCACCCAGAAGAAACAGATTATCAGCACGTGGATATTGACCTTTGAGCAACTACTGTCCCAACGGCTTGAACTGTAGCCGCCGTACTTACCGCACTGGATAACTGGGAGTTCAGTACCGCCGATGCATGCGCCAACGCTTGGCGAACATTTTATAACACTTGCGAGGCTCTTCAAGGGACTCCACCTCCACTTTGGGGAGAAATTAGTGGACTTGCAGCTGATGAACCTGACGTCGTTGAAGAAACCGAAAAAGAAAGAAGTCGCCGAGCAGCTGCGTCCAACAGTAGCTGTCGCAGGAACACCTGCCACAACATCAACAGAAGCAGCATCCGAAGTTGCGATCGCAACTGCAGCAGCAGCTTCAAATATTCAGTTGCCACTTACACGTTTCGTTGAAGGAGAGATGGACAGATCACCAGTGCTTTCTCGTTTTATCATTTCTTCATTTTATACTAACGCTGATTTCTACCTGCGATCATCAGGACACAAAGACACAGAAGATATCTGGCATCAGCGGTTAGGACATCCATCGTAAGGGATTCTTAATCATTCAATACGAGCAGCAGTTCTTGATAAAAACAGTCTTCTTTTACCTGACGGCATGGAGATGAAGCCGCAGTCCCGTCCCACGGTTTGGCATACCGTGTCCAGTCGCTAATCTTACCCATGATCTGTTTCCAAGTCACTTTCCTGGCTCCACACGTTACAAACTGATGCAGAAAGTCTACAGCGATATTCTTAACTTACCTGAAGCAGGTCCTAAAGACGAGCAGTACGTGATAACATTCATCGAAGCATCTACTCACTACGTCTGGACAGCAAACCTTCCCGCTCGATATCTCGCCCATTCCGTCTTTGTCGCATGGCTCGCCGTCGCTGAAAGAAAGTCTGGCGTGAAACTGCAAGAATTCCAGAGCAATGGTGCAGGGGAGTACACGAGCAACACTTTCACAGAATACCTTCAGACCCTCGGCATCAAACGGAAGCAGTCACTGCCGCATGCACACCAACAGATGGGGTAGCAGAAAGGATGAATCGGACTCTGAAAGAGAAGATGCGTGCTCTGCTGACGCAGGCAGCTCTTCCTCCTCGCTTTTGGCCGTATGCGATGGACCACGCCGTGAAGTTACACAACCTTCTTTCTTCTACGTCCCTGCCGGAGTTCTCCACACCTGCATTGGACACGAACAGTGAGAAGTACCAAACCTTTACAAGTTTTCGGGTGTGTCGTGCAGTTTCGTCCTCCAACTGCAGCACTCGGCAAATTTTCCGAACGAGCAAAATGGGGGGTACACCTCGGCATCGAAAACAGTAGCACGCATGGAAGATTTTGGATCTTCGTTCCAACCATATCGTCCCTTCACATGATTGTCTCTTCTATCAAAGACTAACCTTGCCCGTTTTTTGTGCCCACCAAGCAGCAGCTGCCAACCCCGCCAGGCTGTTCGAAGGCTCGCGTGCATTTGCAACTGACGAAGCCGAAGCTGATGTACAGGACGAGGCAGTTTTTGAAGCTTCCGAAGCTGCCGCAACTAACATCCCCGAACCTGTCGCCTCGACAGGCATACCGGAATTTATTCCTCTTGCAGATGCTGACCAGGATGATGTTCGCGAAGTCCACCTCAGTTACGAACGCGATCGCTAACAGCAGCCGATGCCCGTCGTCTCCGACGAAGCAGTCCGTGTTACACCTGACGAAATTGGGGGGGAGAAGGACCAGAAGAAAATTTCGCACATGCAAACGAAGAACGTCCGCGTTTTACAGAAACAGGATTACAGATACTGGGATTCGCAGGAGTAGTACAGTACAACGACAGTAAGATACCTGAACCGAAAACCGTTCGACTTCCTCACGAAGAAGGTGACACGACAGAAGTTTGTACTGTAACAAGCTTTGCGGGATCTTCAAGAAGTGACACTATCGAACTTCCAGAAATGAAGGGGAGTGTTGTAGTATAATTCAAACTTAGCATTTCTGTAAGTCGTTTATCGATAGATAGTGTAGAATCCTACTGTAGAAGATATGTCCGTAGGATGACTTCAGCAAATAGCGCTCGTCATAGGACAGTCGTTTTCAGTCACGCATTCAATCGCACCTCTTCATTATCATTTAGGGCGCATAGCGCGATAGTGACGAACAGGTAAATTAGCGAACAGGTACTTTCCTAGAGCTATAAATCCTTATTATGCCTTTTTCATTATTAACTTTTGATTACTCACAAGTTCACGTACTCATGTTATTCAACCTTGACTACTACATTTTACAAGACTTCCACTGTCTTACTAGTCTAGCATTACATTAAAGATCCTAGGCCAACAATTGAGGTTTTCCAAGTATTCGTGTTTGCAGATTTATACTTAGTCTCCTGCAACACCTGACAAATTATTACAGTGTCAACTTATACATATCTTTATATGTAGAAAATACAGGCTTGATATGATTGTGTTCTTAGAGAGTACATCTCCAACCCTATATCTTCCTTTTACTCTCTTGTTGCTAACCATTATAGTGTACTAACATGGTATCATGAGTCCCCAACCACGAAGGGACTCGAAACAAAACCCAACAAGGGGCTACACCAAGTGAAATATAACACTACACGAAGTAGCATTACTATTTTTCACTATTTTAATATTTATCCGCGTCCCTTGGGCTTGAAATCTTGAGCTCTTGGTCTTGGTCCTGCAAAATCAATACTTCTTGAGTTGATGGGGGCTTGCTGCACTCACCTGCGACGCAATGGACACTTCACACTCGACAAAATAGAAAACGCATGCGACGTGCAAACGACGACTTGACATGCGAGTTGTAAAAACTCGCTAATGTCTTGACCGACACAAACCACATTGTGAGACACCATTCAAGCACACACACAAGCACAAGATAGCAATAACATAGACTCACAAATCATTCCATGCCATGCATGCACACACACAAACAAGGACGACAAGCCGAGTGCAAGCCATAGGGTTGCACCAACAAACTCCCCCTCGGATTGTTGGCCTTAGGATCTGCTCCCCTTAGTTAAGAGCCATCCCAGCAAGCTTGCAACACTTCCAATGCTGCCGCTCAACCAGCCTCTTGGTCATCATATCAGCTGGCTGCGCCGTCGTCTTCACGTAGTGCAACTCCACTTCACCCGGTTACCATGCTCCTCACCCAATGCCACTTCACCTTCATGTGCTTGGTAAGGCCATGAAGAACGGGTTCTTAGCCAATGCAATAGCACCCTGGCTATCACATAGAGTGGGGTAGGTCCTTGCTGCTCCTCCCCCAATTCAGCTAGCAAACGCCGCTGCCACACAACCTCTCTTATGGCACGGAAGAGTGCCATGTACTCGGACTCCACCGAGCTCAATGCTTGGTCCACTTGTTTCTTGCTCTCCCAAGCTGTTGGCCTCCACCAACACAGCAGATGAAGCCTCCCACACTTGTCATGTCCTCTGGTTCTGATGCCCAAGATGCATCAGAGAAGGCGGTGAGAAAGAGCCTCCCGGGTTCGACTCCATCCGCACCCTTTTGACGCCTTTGTGCCGCCGCGGAGTATTGCAGTCCAACAGTTGCTGTTTGGCCAAGGTACTTGGCCACCTCTCTCCAGCTGCTACCTGCTCTTCATTAGGGCATTGGACAACCCTAGCCAGCTGCCCGGTAGCAAAGGCTGCATCCGGCCTTGTGTGAACGGCCGCATACATGAGGCTGCCCACCAAGGAGTGAAAACGGCGCCTCTCCTCTTCACCAACACTTTCCTCCGCTGGTCCTTTCACACACTTGAACCCTGAGGGAAGAGGAGTAGCCACATGACCTTCACTCTTCCCAAAGTTTGCAGCCAAGGCCTCCAAGTACTTCTTTTGATGCACTCGCATCCACCGCTTCTCCACATCTCGCTCAATGTGAAGCCCAAGGTAGTAGTTGACGTCACCAAGGGTCTTGCACTTGAACTTGTCTTGAAGCTTCAGCATCACCTCCTTCACAAGGTCAGAGGAGGGTGAGAATATGAGGATGTCATCCACATAAACCACCATGAAGCTCCTCTGCTCCCCCTCGCCAAGCATGAACAAGGATTGATCGGCCGTTGAGGGAGTGATGTACCATTGCCTAGGGGCTTGCTTGAGGCCATAGAGTGCTTTCTTCAGCTTCCACACTCTGCCACTCCCATCATTGTACCCCTCTGGCTGCTCCATGTAGGTCTCTTCCTCCAAAACGCCGTTGAGGAAGGCCGTTACGATATCCATTTGCTTCACCACCCATCCTTTGATGGCCGCCGCGGCGAAGAGGTTCGAAGGGTTGTACCCTTCACCACGAGCATATACTTCATTGTAGTCTTCTTCTCTTGCTGCTGGTACCCCTTGGCTACAAGTCTGCTCTTGTAGCGCTCAATGTTGCCGTCGGCGTCGGTCTTGCGCTTGAAGAGCCACTTGGAAGAGATCGCCTTACGCCCCGGAGGTAGGTTCACCAAGTCAAACGTGTCGTTCTCGATGATGCTCCCCATTTCTTCATCTGAGGCCTTCTTCCACTCCTTCCCATTGGGGCCCTCCCAAGCCTCCTTGGGATTTGTAGGCTCCCCCGGCATCTCCACCGGAGAGAAGAAGGCAAAAGCGCACTCCTCGCTTTCATCTTCCGCATCATCGCCTAGCATGAGAGCCGAACCGGTCAAGGTTGAGTTGGCTGGTCCTCCAAGCCGTTCATAGCTCAACCTATTGGGGGGCTGAGTCCTCCTTCTCCCCCTTCCTTCCTCCTCTGCTGCAGGGACTTGAATGCTCTCATGGCATTGCTGCAAATCTGGTCGGTTCCCGCGAGCACTTGTAGCACGAGGCGGAAGTGACGGTGCACGCTCATCACCTTGCTGCACCTCCTCCTCCTCTTCTCCCCCATTCATTTGAGGAGATTGCCTTGTGATTGTGCTGCTGCTACTCAGCTCCAAGGGCAGCTCCACATGCTCCAAGCCGGTACTCTTCACCTCTCCAAGCCGCACACCAATCTTCGCTTGGTTCTCCGCCTTCCACTCCTTGTACGGTAAGTTCTCCATGAACTTGCAATCTCTGCTCACCAGGAACTTCTTGGTAAATGGGTCCCAAAGAAGCCATCCCTTGCTGTTTTGAGCCATGCCCAGGTGCACGGCCCATGTTGCCTTGGCATCAAGCTTGTTGTGCCGAAGTTTCTTAGGCACAAGTGCCATGCACATGCACCCGAACACCCGAAGCATATCCACCTTCGGCTTCCTTCCAATCCACTCCACATAGGGCACCCATTTGTCTTCTCCCACATGAGTCAAGGCTCTGTTCTTGGCCACACAAGCATGCCGCACCGCATCCGGCCAAAAGTAATTGGGTAGACCGGCTTCAATGAGAAGTCCCCGAGCCGTCTCCGTGAGTGTCCGATTCGCACGCTCGGCGATGCCGTTCATTGCAGGAGAGTAGGGCATGGTAAGAGAGTGCCTTATGCCCTGCTTCTTCAGCCAAGTTGAGAAATCCTTGCTCAGGAACTCTCCCCCACGGTCAGTGCGAATCGCCTTCACAAGTCGGTCTTGTTGCCGCTCCACCATCGGCAACCAATCGGTCTTCACCGTTTCAGCTACGTCACTCTTCTTGGGCAGCACATACACCCAAGTCATGCGAGTGTAGACGTCCACAATGGTGAGGAAGTACTCAGCTCCAGCAGCTCCAAGCTTCAAGGGGCCCACCACATCCATCACCACCTCATCAAGTGGTGCCTTCGCCGTTGTCTCCGAGCTATGGAACGGGTAGGGTGAACTTGGCTTGCATGCATGTTGGACAGCCAAGCACCTCATTGGGCTCCCCCTTGACACGTATCCCACTGACCATCTCTTGCTTAACTATCTGCTGCAAAATGGGCAATGCCACATGCCCCATTCGCCGATGCAAGGTCAGCCAATCACACTCTCCCGTAGCGGAAGTCGGGTTGGAGAAAGCGGCACTCGCAATTGTGCCCCACAAGCTCTCTCCTTTCTCCTTCGCCGCTGCTGCTTTGCTGATCTTAGCTTCTCCTCCTCATTTCCACCACCTTTGGCTGCTGCACCACTCTCCTTGGGTTCACACGCCTTGCTGGTCTCTCCAAGATTGCACTCCTTCGACACTTGGTGTCACTTTTTCCGTGATCACCGCCACCAACCGCTTCACTTGGTGCTGACGCTTGCTGCCACTTGCCTCTCCTTAGGCATGGGGACCACTGGGATTTGCCACATCTCATTGTAGATGTCCCTGTCCTCATGAAGGTCCCAAAGCTTCGCTCACCAAGCCTCGCGGTATAGTTTTGGATCCCTTGGAAGATGTGTCCATGCCGGCCTTTTGCAAACGACACACGAGAAATCAGGTTGGCTGCAAGGTTGGGCACCCAAAGCACGTTCTTGAGGCCCACCATCTTCCCATCAGCACCCTTGAACATGGCCTTGCCCATGCCTTTCACCTCTGCTCGCTGCCCCAAAGCCGATGTAACATGCTTGACCGGCGACGGTTCGAGTTCGGTGAGCAAGTCCGCACGAGTGTCATGCTATAGGTGGCGCCGCTATCGATCACCCAAAAGTCCAGAGAGTGAAGGGTGACCTAAAAGCTTCCACAGCACATGCTGCAGCTGCCGCTTGCGTGGAGACAAAGAAGAATTGGCCCGGGTATCGATCTTCACTCGGCCTGTCTCGTAGTCTCCACCTTTCATGCTTGCCGCTTCGCTTCCACG